GTAATTGCAAATGAAAATACATCAGCATTTTTCTTGTATTTTTCTTTCATCAAAATTTCAGGAGCCATGTAAGTCGGTGTTCCAATACCCTTAGTGAATGTCATGTTCGTCATTAGTAGATTAATATTTCGACTTGATCCAAAATCAGTCAATTTTCCATTGACTTTCTCATTCAAGTCAAGTGAAATAACAAGGATGTTATCCGGTTTTATATCTCGATGTAATATGTTATTTTCATGTAAGTAATATATCCCCTGTGCCGCATCTATCATTATTTTTATTCGCATTTTGACATCGACTTCTTTGTTTGTTTTGTGTTTCATTAAGTCTTGCATACTTCCAAATTGAGCAAATTCAGTGACTAAACACACTTTATTCGGAATGAATACGGCCCCATAAAAGTGTACGATAAACTCACTTCGGAATTTGTATAGCATTGAAACTTCATTTTCAAACTCCACCATCTTCCCTTTTTCATCACTAGTACTCTCTTTCATTCTTTTAATTGCGACGACATTTCCTCTGTAATTACCTTTATACACAATCCCAAATGACCCTTCGCCTATTTTCTTTGTTTCCTCAAGTTCATTATAATTCAATTTTGTGGTGTTTTCAGTATTTGTTTCAATTTTGACTCGTTCGTTATATTGTGTACCTGTTTTCAATTCCAATCCAATGACCATAATATCATCTTTTATGTCACACGAACATAATGGGTTTATAAATATCTCAAATTCACACGCTTCTCCATGCTTTAAAGTAACAATTGAAGGCACCGTCCGAATTTTGTAACAATCACATCCCTCTAAAACACTGAATTGTACCTTCATGTTGTTTTTTGAAGTGTTTCCGATACAAATTAAATCCCTTGTTTCGGTATCAACCTTTATCAACTCAGAATCACTGCTAAGGTCAAATTTCAATTTAATTTTGTTGGCAACTAAAGTGTCACATAATTTATACATCTCGATGTTTGAACGACTCATCAAGAAGGTGCAGACGTTTAGCGAAACTTTCTTTTGTTTTATTTTAAGTACATATGAATATGTTATGATGATAAATGTTGCGATTGATATTATAATAACAATTGAAATAGAAATTGGTACTCCAACTATAAGACCATAACTGGTGTTGTGAAGGCAGTTTTCTCCATCATCAGAGGGCTGATTTGCACCTTCACATTTTACACATTTTGAGTCAATTGCTTCGATACAATTTTCAACTGATGAGAAATACAGACACTTTGAATTTGTCAAAACGTAATTTGGAGTAACACACAAATCACAAATTTCAGCCGAGGAACACACAGTACAATTATCTGAACATTTATTACATCGACCATTTTTGATGAAAAACCCATCATCACAGACAATACAACCGTTTGTCGTCGCTTTGGAACAATTTTTAAGCGTTTTGTTGTTTTCACACAACTTGTTGGATTCACCAGAAATTGTAAAATAGCCATCAGAACACGACAAACACGAATACGAGTTTACACAAGTATCACAAGATATATCACACGTCAAACAATCTTTCTCGACTTTGTAAAACCCGTTTTTACATATAGCACAACCTCCACCTGTGGGCAACTTCACTGAACATTTCTCGGATAATTCTCCAAGACTCTGACACTTTATTTCAGAGTTTAGAAAATAAGAAGATAAACATGAAGTGCAGTACGTCAAATTATAACACGTTTTACAAACATTTTCGCATTTGAGACATTCTAAATTGAAATTATTATAAACTTCATTGTGTTCAGAAGAAAGGTAATATCCATCAGAACAATGTGAACATCCTCTGTTTGTTCTTAAGAGACATTTCGTCTCAACAACGCCTTTTAATTTACTGGTTATGTTGTTCTTTTTTAAAGTATTTTTTGTTTGATCATTCATATTATCTTTATATTCAATTACATCTTCAAAATATTCAGAGCATGTTCCATTTTTTAATTTAAATGAATCTGAACATTCTATACACTTTTTATTTTCGTCATTTGAAGTTATCAAAACACGTTTACAATTATTAATATTGAGTGTATAAATGGGAAGACAAAAGTAGTATCTTTTTTCTTGATTTAACACGGAAATTGAATAATAATTGTCTTTGCGCAACACACGCCCATAAGAGTTGGATTTCAAACAATTTACTTCATCTTTTGAGATACATCAGAATACAACAAATAAGTTGAAGAACACTTTTAGCACTTATCACCAACACAATAATCACATTTTTTATAATTTAATATTTAATAATAAATAAATAATAAACATATAATAATCATTGGTGTATTATTAATAATTAAACCTAATAAACTCAAAAACGACATCTTTTATAATCAAATGGAGACTGATTTCCAATTCTTTAAAAAATTGATTTACTTGGAGAACCTGTCATATACAAAAAAATTGTTTTTGAAAAAAAAACAACGGGAAATATTACAAATGCACCAAATGCCCTGCAAGAATAATTATGATGTACATGAAGGAAAAAATTTTGGAGTAGCCAAAGAAACAAAATCACATGACTACACATCACACATAGAAGTCACACAATAAAATGCAAGAGAGTATTCGACAACAAAAATAACTGAAAAGATAGCTATTGACCAAATGTGCTACGACTTGGTCGCTAATTTATAAAAGCAAACATCAGTCGTAGTAAGAGACAATCCAGAAATTCTAAAAAACAAGTCAACAGATCGCCAAATGAAGTCAAC